TTTTGACTACTGATAATTCAAATCGGGGACTAACAGAAACAGCAGTACAATCTATAGTGCTTTATTAGTATGAAGATTGTTCACCCTGATAACATCTGTAATGAAATAAATCATTGTATCTGAAATGCAAAGTTTCTAGTTACTGAGTAATATTAATTAGTACAATAATTGAATGATTATATAAAGTGAAGAATATATATGTTATAAAAAATGAAGTGAATTGATTTTTTTTATAAAATGTGAAGAGTGAAACTGCAGAAACCCATAAAAAGTGAAGTGGGAAGAAGCCATATTATTTTTTACCCATGTGGAGGCCCGTCTGTCACACTAATGAAACTGTGGGAGAGTAGTTTGTGGATATGCTACTGCTCATGCTAATGGCAATTATAAACGACAGAGAGACACACGAGCGTAGTTTACGTTAGCAAAAACACAGTATTGGTTTATTGCAATACGAAGTAAACTGACATAGAGTACTGAGGCAACTGGTAAAACATGAAATATAACAGAAATCATGGGTATTTTAAACCCTCTATGCGAACGTGAAAGGAAACACATTTAGGCATAAACTATGTAACTAAGTTTCAAATATAAGCGGCAAAACGAGGCTGAACTGTTATTGGTCAAAGTTAAAGCGAACCTAAACGCGGCCTTAATTTATAGTTGTGTATATTCTAAACTGTATTCGAAATAATATTGCAGTGGTTTAATTTTGTTTTAATTATAACTAACTTGGATAGGCATTTGAAGTGCTTGCCATGGAGGCCATTTATGGAGGGAAATAATTAACGAACGAACATATTTAACATCCGGGGACTTTTCAAAGCTATGACGTTTTAGTATCTGATCGCATTCGTATACGCCATTGTTCATAGCCGTTCATGCTGCCAAGCATTGTGTACTATTAGTATAAACTCAACTTTTATATGCACAATGTGCTTTTTAAAACTTGGGTTAGAGCCTTATGCGTTTGAACCACAGTATTCTGAGAGTGAAAGCCCAATTGCGTTAAAGTACCGTACTTCCCCGATCGTAAGCCCCTCCCGAG